CCCCAAACATTAAGGACTCCCAAAAAATGGGTGCGCAAGGATATTGGTAAATATATCGGCCCTTACAGTCGGTTCAGGGCTTATCAATCTGAAGAAGGTTACCTCAGCTTGGGGCAACACAGCAGGTGTGTTCACGCCGCTCTCCTCCAGCTTGCCTCTCAAGTGGTCTCATCTATCAATACTCGCGCTACATCCGCGACAGAGTCTTTTCTTGCTGCCTGCTCATCACTAAGCTTTCGGCACCACTCGGTGGGATGTTGCGAGTGTTGAAGGCTTNNNTCGGGTGAAGAAGTCTTCGCGATTGGATTTGACGAATTCGTGGCGCTGGCCCCTGATACTGAACAGCCAGACAGCGCGCGAGCTCTCAAGTGCCATGTGCAGCGTGTCAGCGGGCAGTCCCGCTTCAAGCAACGCTTGTTGCTTCTGGATGGTCACATGTTGTCAGATGAGTTTGTGTTCGGAGGACCAACAGATGTCCAGCTCATATTGCAACATTTTGAGGCGAGCTCTGAGGAGCAAATCCGGCAACTACGAGATGCCGCACGCAACAACGATATCCAAGCAATGGAGCAGCTCCTGCAGAGGCCACAGGATCCAGATTTGGAAGTCACAGACTTGGCACCTGCTCTGCATTGTGCATGTCGCTGAGGCCATGCTGAGGCTGCCCGCTTGCTTCTCGAGGCCAATGCTGACAAAGATAGGGCCTTCGTCAACGATGGCTCAACCCCAATGCATTGGGCATGTGAGGGTGGCCATGTGGAAGTCGCTCGGTTGCTGCTGGAGGCAAATGCTGACAAGGATAAGGCCGAGAACGATGGCACAACTCCGCTGATCACGGCGTCACGCAAGGGCCACTTGGAAGTCGTCCGGTTGCTGCTGGAGGCGAAAGCCGACAAGGTTAAGGCCAAGAACGATGGCGCAACTCCGCTGATCATGGCGTCATACAGGGGCCACTTGGAAGTGGTCCGGTTGCTGTTGGAGGCGAACGCTGACAAGGATATGGCCATGACCCGTGGCGCAACTCCGCTGCTCCTGGCGTCACAGAACGGTCACTTAGAGGTCGCTCGCCTGCTGCTGGAGGCAGACGCCGACAAGGATAAGGCCAAGAACGATGGTGCAACTCCGCTGATCATGGCCTCGTACAAGGGTCACTTGGAAGTTGCTCGCCTGCTGCTGGAGGCAGACGCCGACAAGGATAAGGCCAAGAACGATGGCGCAACTCCGCTGGCCACGGCGTCACACAAGGGCCACTTGGAAGTCGTACGGTTGCCGCTGGAGGCGAACGCCGACAAGGTTAAGGCCACGAAAGATGGCAGAACTCCGCTGCGCCTGGCGTCACAGAACGGTCACTTGGAAGTCGCTCGCCTGCTGCTGGAGGCGGGCGCTGACAAGGAAAAGGCCAAGAATGTTGGTCTGCTTAGCAAGGGCTACAACCCTCTCTTATTACTGGTTGTTCACAATCCCTCTGAGGGCCCCTACCCCTTCATGAGCCCGAATAATAAAGTGGCTCCCATTGTTGTTCCATGTCTTCATTCCCAGCTAACGACGCGTAATCCATGCGTGTACCCAAAGGCTTCGTTCCCGTAGACTTCAACCATCTAAAGCTTTAATGGTTCCTTCTATCCCGCTGTCAAGAATGTAGAGAAACATGAGAATGCGTTGGGACCCTTCCCTTCCGTTGGCTGTTCAAACATCTCACTAAGTGTAATTCCCATTTTGACGCCCTTAGCCGTTGAACTCCCAATCAAGAAGCTGTAAACCCTACAGCTTCAGATCCTTAACACGGGCCTGACCGGGCTTTAGCCCAGGAGATCTTTGGGGCTTCCATGGCAAAGTGCATCTGCGTGCTGCAGCTGATTGTAGATGACCTGGAGCTCTTCCCAGAGGTAAGGGAAATATTTTGTGATATATTGGAACAAAGGAAAGGACAATGGAAACTGCTCTAATATAACAGCTTAGTGGATCCTTCGATTCTAATTTGGGAGGTTCGCAAAACTGATGAGTCACGTCTTGGGGGTGTGTTGGGAATCTTGTGAGTTTGGGCATAACATGAAACCTTCACGGAGCTTTCCCAGGGGCCTTGGGCTTCAAAGCAAGTCGTCATCTCAGAACAGGGGTTTATCCCCCCCCCCCCGGATAGTCGTTCAGAAGTGTGTCTATCAAGGTCTGTAGCTTTTCACGAAAACTTTCGCACCAGTAACTAAGTGAGGGCATGGGTTTTCAGAACTCAGGCTTCCTGCAGTGACTGCTGTCAACCTTGCTTTAAGACTCGGTTTTCCCTGGGGCAAGTTTGCCCTTCGAGATTGGAAGTCTGTCTGTCCAAGCAAGAACTGAGTCCTGCTGGGCTGCACCACAGAAACGAAAGGTAGTTTACGTTACACGTTTGATGAGATGGCTCGTACAACCACCAGCACGGAGACCACATGCTCGCCTTAGCTTTCCTAAGTAATTATGTCTTGGATCCCAGAAAGTCTCTTCCATGTTCAGATGGTCCCCGTCACCACGCTCCTCCTGCCCAAGAACTTGGCGCCGTTTGCATCGCTTTCATTTGACGAGGTGCGACTGCAATTCCAGCGACATATTCGCTAATATGTTGCCCAAAACATGATACCCAATCCTGCATTAGGGAAGCTATCACTGACGCAACGCCTGCATCCCTTCATGCTGCTGGCGGAATCCCCGCAGAGTCGCAGTTGTTCTTCCTTCAGGGCTCCTAGACCATCCCTCCATGCTTTGATTAAGTTACTAGAATCAAGGAAACCCTATTCTTATATATATATATATCTGTCTTATGACTAAATGCTATGGTAATTGAATTTAAGTTCCTTAGCAACAGCCCAGTAGTACATCGAGTCCATGGCTTTGGGATCCCTAAGCCCTAAACCCTCTTCCCTAAGCACTCAGCCCTGAACCTTAAACCCTAAACCCTAAACTCAAGGCTTAGGCCGCCCACCTACTATGCCCCACCAACCTAGCTGGACCTGCCTCAGCACAGCCACGAGGTCAGTAGCACCCACGGTAGGCCCGGTACCGGAACCTGTTCTCCTTGCAACCAGTACTGGTTGCTTAAAAATGTAATTACCCGAAACCCCAAGTGTTTTTTCGCGGGGTGGCTGCCTAGTTTCTCCCAGGCCTCCCACTCCCAGGGCCTCCGGCTCTTCCAGGGCCTCGCAAGTCGCAGGGCCTGTCAAAGTCTCCAAGGCATCCCGCCAGTTTTGAAATTCGTTTTGGAGCCTGACGGACAAGCGTCGGAGGACGTCCAGTCAGACGCCAGATTTTCGAGTAGGTGATTGTTGGCGGGTGAAGAGCCGGCAGCACCATTCGTCCTTCATGATGCTCAACTGCAAGTTGCTGTGGAGTTCACTGTCCAACTTGGCCTGAATGTTTGTTCGAACACTTTTTAGGCGTTTCTCGCCTCTTGGCTATAGAAATGTTTAATGACAGCCTAACGTCCAAATGAAAAGTGCTGTTGGCCAAGATGGACCTAATTGAAACCCTAAAAGGAGTAGGTTTGGGTGGCTTGGCCGCCTTAGACGGCGTGGGGTGGGTGAATGTGTTTGATGGCCTTCTACACTCAGGCCATGGCGGCAGCCATGTACATGAGGGATCATTGACATCTAATCATCACCTCTTGCATGGTACTTCACAGAAAACCCTAATCCCTAAACCTTAAACCCTAAGCCCTAAACCTAAACCCTAATCCCTAAACCTTAAACTCTCTTGGATTTTGGGACAGCGCCGCAGAGATCCTTGAAGGCTGCGCGGCAAGCGGGCTGCGAGGCCTCCCTGCGGGAGACGCCGAGGCTGGTTTGGGAGAGCCCGATGCTTCGGGGAAGATGGGCTTTGGGGTTTCAGGGTTTGGGGTTTATTACCCTGGTCATTTTGGTTCTGAAATTTTGGGACTAAGGAAATTTGAGAACTCTAAGTAATTGTAGGTTTATATGGGCTTGAGGGTTTGGGGTTTAGGGCATAGGGCTTAAGGATTTCGGGCTTAGGGAAAAGGGTTTAGGGTTCAAGGTTTAGGGCTTAGGCTTTAAGGTTCACATGTTTCCCATAGAATATTACATAATATTACTAGTTCATGTCGATAGTTCATATTAATGGCATTAATACCAACAAGCTGTACTTGCAGTAGTGGTAATCGCAACCATCTCCAAATTAGTAGTAGCAATAGCAAGAAGAATCCTACTCACAGGAGCAATAGCACTCGTAACGGAAATAAGTGTAGGGTGAAAAGCATTCTGGTCCAGTCTATTTAGGAAACGAGGGTCCTGGATTTCAAGAGTCCCTGCGCCGAGTGGTATTTTGTTTCGAAGCCCGCAGGAGATGCTTGGCGCGAGCTTAGGATTCGGGTCTCAGGGTGTCGTCAAGCTAGTCTACGCCTGTGGATACGATGAAGATGCGGGGATTACGATAAAGGTGTATTCGGTCACCTTGTTAGGGATTGTGTTTGTGAAGGCCGGAAACACTCCCAAACTATGGCGTGATACGAGTCATCATGTTGAATCATCCGCGCAGTGATTGCTCTGAAGGACTGTCAGAGACCTTTGAGCCCTGTTTGATGAGAGACCATATGGGGTTGTCCAAGAAGCCCCCGCAAAGAGGCAAGCAGCCCTTCATATCTTGGAATCTTAGCCCCGAAGCTTCGCCTGACATTGGGTCACAGTCTTGATGAGGGTGGCACATTCTCGCACTCCGCAGGCTTGAATGCCAGGTATAGTTCGGGAGCTGAAAGCTGGTGTTTGTCGACTGTTCTCATGGAGTTTGTGTGAGCATGCAAGCACCTGGCATGTGACTAGACTTATGCTTGTTTTTCCTGCTGTCTCTGAGGACACATTCAGAATATGTTATTGTAGTCGAAACAAGAGCTTGTCGCGAATTCAGGGAGCAATGACGATGCGATTTCGTCGCACCCTGCACGTCAAAGGAAGAATCGCAATCCATTGTTGCCATTCATGAATTAGCAGTTTATAAACGTGAGCAGCTAGGGAGCATGACCCCTAGTCGGTCTGGATCGTAGTTAAAACTTTGAAAACTTGTCTGGGGGTTTGGGGGTTTAGGGTTTAGGGGTTGTAGAACATCCTGCAAAAACGCAGCAAGTCCCTCGTGATCCTTGCAAGTAAAACTCCATGGCTCAGTTGGATGCTTCTGGAGCTACGTGGCGGACCGCGCGAGCGCATCGCTGGGGCCGCCAAGGCCCACAAAGAGCACAGTATGACGGGGCACTACTGTTTCCATTATGACTACTTTATACTCTTACTCCAACCGTTGTTATGAGAAAGGTTTCTCCTGGTGATCGCGCTTATCTTTCAGATTGAGGGCATCAAGAACCCAACAGGCAGATGAGTAACAGGTGATGTTGACTATTATATTCATATTTATTGCCCGACAGTTCTTCTCAAGCTGAGAAATGCATCAGGCCTCGCAAGCCCAAATGGTCATGGTCATGCTCAGCTGGCAAGAACCATTGGCAATCGGGCACCAAATTTTTAAAGCATCCCACACCGCATCGTGCCAGCGCATTCTTGGGTTCAGACCCCCCTTGTTGGTGAATGGGTTGAGAGCCTTAGCAGGTGTCCAGGTGCTTGGAGAAGTCTCCATGATCCGCTTGCTGCACAATGGCCAGCACTGTCGAAACTTCAAAAAACATACATGCGGCAGGAGGCCAGCCACAAATGAATAATATATTCTTCTAGAATCTGAGCGGTATAAGAGAACGAAACATAAACCCTGACCCCCGCGGCAAGGCCCATGAAGTCGCAGAGGCTGCCGCTGCAGAGCGCCGCTGGGTCAATTCATGCGGTGTCCCGTTGACTACGTCGTTGTCCGTCTGGCCTACGTATTTCTATTCGCAGCCATCCGCCATCCAGATATGCAGCCAAGTTGTTATTACGGCGCGTTGAGATCTACATCCCCGGTCACACAATTTCAGGAGCATTGCCCATGCAAGTTGATGTTCTATACAGTATTTGTGCCTCATCAACATCAATGCCACAAGGAACTCCAAAGGGATCCCAGAGTGCAGCATGCCAAGGCGATGGTGATACTACAGGCGAGAAGACAGGCTTGGGCACAGCAGAGTCTCCGTAAAGCACTATGGGTAGGGTAGCGGCAACTTAGCGAGTCTTAGCAAGTGTACTTGTCACCCCCCATGCCCGTAATACTCCCAGTTATCCCCATAATTCGCATACGTACTACGGCTGTCTGACCCGCCAAGCATACTTGGGAACTCCAGCATCAACTCCCGTGAATTATTTACTGCTGATGACAGTTTATGGACCGTATCCTGTATGACACTCTACATTGCGAGGTTCAGGGTGTAGCAATTAAGTCTTGCAAACTTTGATGCATCAGTGGCACCGGTAAGATTAGGTAATGGGCCGCGCTACATACTCTCATTAGAAGGACAGTTATACCGTTGTATCTGGCCTGAGTCACTCCAAAGTGTTGTCGGAGCTAGCATAATCATCTCTCGCCCGATCGCCCAACCCAGACTATGAACCTTCGAGTTCAATGAACCTCGGGACCTCCCGCTACCTTGTTGGAAGTCGGGCCTTTGGTAGTTCGAAGTCATGTCAAACACCAAGATTCAGCACTTGCAAAACCAATGCCCTAGACCCGTGTTGCGAGTAGACACACCACATTGAAACAAGTGGCTTGGACCCTGACTAGCAACTTCCCAGAGCCAACGTTTGACTTTCAGGCGGCGGTAGCCCGCAAAGAGTGTCTCGGATGGTGCCGTCAGAGTCGACTTGCTCCAAGAGGCCTGGGCGCCACCCCACGGGTGTTTGAGGTTTTGCTTAGGGCCACTGCCACGAGCTCCAGGTGCTAGGTGCCCCAGAACAACGACGATGGCCTAAACAGTTTCCGTAGGGGGGGGGGTTTTGGGGGGTTCCCGAAGTTTTTTTTTTGCTGTGTAGATCCTGAATCCCGGTCTTTTGGGTGTAGTTTGGGTTGAGAAGTTGGAGAGGTTAGGAGTTCTGTACAGAATGCAGGCGTGTATGGAATGAAGATATCCTAGCTGCTTGGTACGCAAACCGGCCCTCTTTACGCAATACTCTTTTAACCGACCGCTTGTAAAGCCGAACCCTCAAGATCCATTCACCCTGCGTCCCTTCAACAATTCTCAAGCTTTGCCAGACTATCTGCTAATTGGTTATCTATTGCTACTATTGCCCAAAGATATCTTCCCTACCCCTGTACATAAGCAACCCAAAGACCCCAAGCCCACGCCAACTCCCTGAAGTTCCAGGCCTACGGAGCCCCTTCCAGCCCCGCCAAGAAGCATCACTGGGGATGCCAATGGGAGGCAGACTTTTGGCCTGTCAGGAAGGAAGGATTCAGGGTTTAGGGCTTAGGGTTTAGGGTTCATGGTTTCGGGCTTCAGGCTTAGGGTGGGGAATTTAGAAATCTGGGGTGTAGGGTTGCTTGGGTGGATTTCGTAGAGATTGCTCCGAAAATCCATTCCTTTATCTAGGAGGCGGAATGGCATTGAAGAATCAGGGCGATCGGGGGTGCCAAAAAAAGGGTCCTTTTGGGGAGTCCCTATGAGGGGCCTCATGTTTCGGGGGTCAGATTGTGGATGGAGGGAATTTTGCACCACCTGATATAGCCTAGACGGCAGTAATTACAGTAGTTTGGGGATACTAAGTGGTGCTCCATCCACTGGAAAAAACTGGGCCGATAGCATTGAACACCTCAGGGCAAGCCAGACTCTGGTTGCTAGAGTTGGGATAAAGTATGTGAGAACAAGAGGTACCAGTAGAGGAAGAAGAAGAAGATAGCTTTTGGCCAGTGTCGTGAAAGTGATTGCTACCATCACCGTTGGTGTGCTGTTCAGAGGTCTTTAAAGCTTCAATCTCGCAATCCTAACGGAGAAAAACGTGCCACGAAAAGAAAGAGAAGTCCAGGCCCCTCACTCCGCCGACAGTGACCGTCACGAAGCAAGTTCCGGGACCAGGCCTGTCAGGGTTTTGAGGATGTAGAATTTTGGGGGTTAGGGTCCAGGGATCTAGCATGCTTTATCTCAGGATGGCTCGGGTTCAAAGTGAAATCACCCACCCCCTGTTTCAAACAAATATCGAACCCAAAAGTCAACTATTCTCTGAAAAGGGCCTGCAAGGTGAACATCTAGCCTCTGACTGTTCCTACTCTTCGGACGAGAACAACTTGCACGGCGAGTTTAAGTAGCGCAGAAATGGAGTGTTCAATGAAAGGGCACCGCAGGTAGTTCAAACCATAGCTTCAAACAAAGTGGTAGAATTTGTTATGTACTGTAGTTGATGTTCTTCTTCCAGACGTGCGCAGACAAGCATGGTTCCAGTTGTGACTTATGGACGATTGCGTGGCGGTGGGCGCCAAGTCGTGTCCATTTGAAGGGCACATGAATGCCGGAAGTTCTTAGACTGTGAGCCCTTGCCCCCTTAGCTAGACTCATGTTACAAACCCTTAACCCCAAGCCCTTTACCTTAAGTTTCAAGCCCTAAGTCCTGAACCCACGCTAAGAATTGCTAACTGGCCTTTAACCTTCAGCTTCCCTCTAAACTTTCAAAACATGAAGTATCCGCCGCTCAAAACGTGCTACGAATTATTCTCCAGGGTCATGCACAAGAGCAGGGAGTGTACATCATTGAAAGGAGGTGGTAGGGACAGGCCTTTCAAACCAGAGGCCCCAAGGAACCCATCCTCTCCCTCTCAGTCACTCTCAGAGGGTCCTGACCCACTGTGGACCGTTTTGTCTTCTCGAGTTAGGTGAGGTGTCGACGACGCCTCCTCGGTCAGCAAGGCGGGGTTGCAATATCCAAAAAGGTTAGCCCGAGCAGACCAGCCTTTTACCATTCCAGCTCATGTTAGACCACGACCATCGCCCCTCATGAATACTGCATACAGAGACAAAAGCGAGCCGGGAACTAGTCTGGAGTGCTCAGCGGGAGTATTGAGGGGAAAGGAGTCAAAGCTGGGTGCAGATGCTGCCAGTCCATGAATGGAACTGGGTATGGGAGAGTTATCTACATTCTACATGGTTCTTGGGGACCTTCGCTACTGAATGAGCACCTTGATGTCAGCCTGACCATGACATATACACGCATGGTAACGGCCGCGGCGTATATTCGGAATTGTAAAAAAAGCGGGACTTGTGCTCTGAAGGGTTATGTATGTGCTTCAGACTAGCATCCAGACAAGAGGCTGCAGCGATGCACAGAGTACTTACCCTAAAACGGAACAATCTATTCCCTATTATACTATAGTAGTTTCCATTTTCTTTTCCAGTATCCCCCATATAACCCCAATATACCCCAATATAACTACCCATCACAAAACCTTGCAAGGCAGAGCAAGTTCTGGGCAACCCCCAAAGTCCTCTCTCTCTCTCTCTCTCTCTCTCTCTCTCTCTTGATAGATCGCAAAGTTAGGTGTCAGAGGGCAAAGCCACATTCAGCATTTCAGCGTTTCTATCGAATTAGACGAGGGCTAGATGAGAAGCATGCTCCTAACCGAGGAAGAAATGGATGTACCCACTCCCCGGATGAAGCATTGAAGCGCAAGCCTTTTTGTTCAGCAACTCTTCAACGACGTTACTCCTGTCGATGCCGAGCAGCTCTTCTGCAGTGGGGAGTTATTGAGTACTTGCGGCAAAGGCAGAATATGTAGAACAGGGCGGTTGCAAGGAAGGGAGACAGGGTCCAACCTAGGACTGTTTTTACGGCATGCGGACCAGGATATTTCTCGTTTAGGCTTGGAGGTCAGAAAACCTTGTGCAAGCACTGCAGCACTCAGAAGAGTTTGGAATTAGCCTCACGCCTTCTCCTTCAAAGTTCAGGTTTGGTTCATGAAGCCTGAAAAGGTGGCAAGACATGTGTCCTGATCACATCAATCACTTAAGCTGACATAGCCTGATGCTGGAGATTTCAGGAGCAATCTCTGTCTTGGTCAGCAAAGTCGCTGGCTGCTTATTGCTCCTACAGGGATTGAGGGATTCGAGAGCTTCTTCCTGCATAGAGGGTAGGGGTCGGGGTCTCGCGGAGAAGGATGCGAACCAAGCAAGGGGTGATAAGAACGAAATATAGAAGATGCATCAGAAAGATTCTAAGTATCGTACCTCAACTAGGGAGTTGGAACAGGTATCAGGAAACCCTACTTGGTATCTATAAGGCCCCTGCCGAACCTGTATCTAGGCGTTTCTGCGGCAATGCGCCTCTTGAAGAACTGGGACATCCCGCGGCGAGCGGGTGTGCAGATGGAGGTCGAGGTGGGCAGAGGGTACAGTCAGGATTTGTTGAGTTGTCGGAGGCTTTCAGCGTTTGATTCAAGGTTTTCAGTTTTTCAACGCGCAGGGTTTGAGGAATCCAGGGATCAGGGTGAGAGGCCTCTGGGATTCAGCTGCCAATCGCCTGGAAGCTGAAGTAAATATGGAGGTCGAGTTTGGCAGGCGGAATCGGGGGGTGGCAGGTGGTAGGTAGCAATACCGCAGATGAGTAGTATTTTATTTGGGGATACTATGGTACCCAATATAGAGTAAGATTATATCCTCCTTGTGGGAATAGTATTTGTATATAAGGAATATAATCTTACTAGGTTCAACCACCAAAAAAACACTACTCAGATGCTGTTGATCGTGTTGTTGCTGCTGTTCTTAATGACCATGATTATGGATCAGCGGTGAAGCCTTAGCCTTAAGAAGCATTAGATGGAGCATCGATCCAACGCAGGCTCTGACGTCTGCAGACGAGGGAGCCGTGTGCCTTGATAGCATTCCCAGAGGGGTGGGGGTTGTCGCAATTTGGGTTCCTTTTTGGAAGTCAAGATATTGAAGATCCCACATTATGAGCGGAGGCCGGAGGACCCTGTATGTGAGAAAGCCCAAATCTAGAGGCCTTTGGTTGGGGAGGCCCAGGAGGATTCTGGTTGGTCTCGTTTCTTGAGGCGGCCTTAAAGGACACACACACATTGTGTGTGCTAGGCGCGTGATGAGCTATGAGAAATCTATTGAGGCTACTCTGCTTACCTCCCTAATCTTCTCAGACTGCCACATTGCTGACCAATGCCCAATCGTCCGCTGAAAAAGACTTTGTCGAGAGAGTGCAGCAGCCTCCCCCAATCTACTGACAGCCATGTAACAGTTTCCACAGCCTCGGTACTCCCTTCGGAATCCCTTTGGGTCCTCATGCAATCCTCATGGAATCCCTTGCCCCGACAAGGGCGTATTGATTGGGATATGCACGCGCACGTTGCGATTTCTTACACGATTCCGGGCTGCGCGGGGCGTGCTTGTAATTGTGAAAGGGGCGCAGGACGAAGCGCAACAAGTCTGATGATCCGTTGTGCTTTGCCATCACGGCAATCGAGGCTGCGACTAAATGGAACCTCGGTCGCGAATGCGGTAGCCTGTGCCTTCGGCTGCACTAGCGCGGACAAGCTTGGACTCCTGGCTTAGGTTTTGAGATTTTGACAGTCAGCAACAATGAGACCTGCTACTTCACGTGACTAGGAATCTAATAGCATGCAAAGGGTATACAGCATACTCTCATCTATGGCATAATCGAAGCGGTCTTTGAGGCGTGTTGCTGCAGCAAGCTCAGTGGCTCGAGCGGCCGACGCTGTGAGAGAAGCTGGCAAAAAAGTGAGCTCAATCATTGTGGATGTGTCTCTAGGGATGCTAACAGGATTCCATCGGGATTCTACAAGGTTCCTCCCAGTTTGAGTTGCGTCTTCTTGTTCCAGAAGTTCTCATCACGTGCATGTTTCATGTTTCAACAGTGCCCTTCTGACTGGTTTGCAAAAGAAGGCCTTGGTTCAATGAAATTTGTGATTAGACATTTATTTATATTCTATTCTATTATATTATATTATTGTATACTGTATTAGTATATTATGTTATAATATTATACTATAGTATATTGTAATATCCTCTAATATACTATAATATACAGAAATGCAGAACCGCTGTCGTGAATTTCCGTGCCCTTGCCCGCAGGACCTCGCCCGGAAGCTGATCACAGCAGCTCTTGAGGCCCGAGATGTGGGTTTTGATCAGCCCCTCAAGGATCCTTGGGAGGCATTCTAGAATATTCTATAGTAGATCATAGTAGATCATAGTATATTCTAGTCTTTCATAGTATTATGTAGTAGTTTATGTCATATCATATTCTATTCTGGTATATTGTAGTATATTATACTATATCATAGCAAATTCTAAAATCTCCTCATTCTGTGGCTGGCCTTTGGTTAGCTAGGAATGAAGGAATGGATCCTTAGTAGTCCCTTTGTAAACGATTATAGTAGCTTCCATTCCTTCATTCCCAGCTAACCAAAGGTAAGGTGGTAAGGAGTCTACTATTCTTGGCCTGTCATCCGCCCCGGGACGGAGGGGGGGAGGGGGGGGGCCCAATCTCCACGATTGTCTTTGTTTTGAGATCTTCGTGATCTCAAAAGTGCCAGCAGTCACCTGGATGGGGCACCTGGGAAGCGCCATCTTCGTGACGGTCGTGACTTTTGGCACCTTCCTTTGTTGACAAGACCGCAGAAGCGCCAATAGTCACAGGAATGCGGCACCTTGAGGGCCCGCGATCTTTGTGACCGTGTTTGATTTGGCATTCGAATATCTCCATCTTCCGAGAAGAGAGTTTGATTTTCCTTCTAAGCCCTTCTAAAACATCTGAGAAAACAATCCTTAGCAATGATAGTCCGACCTGTGTACATACATGATCCTAGTGAATTCCTTTAGTACGTCATGTCACCAACGTACGGTGTAAACTTACGTACAAAATGCCTTCATTTCCTAAAACCTTCCAGCAACCACACAACTTTCTTGAAGTCCTCAAACTGTTTTGGAAATCCCTCCCACCCCGGACCACACCCACAAGTGGGGGGGATGAGTCCGTATATCATGGGGGGAGCCAGCGGGAAAGGCATGAATCGAATTGTGGCAACATCAGCGTGTAGCCTTTATGCCTGGTAAGCATGGCAATGAGCAAGTAGTAGTGTTAACATGGTATACTAGGTAGCACGAGAGAGCACATCATATCTTATGTGGCTAGCTCGGCCTGCTTATGACATATTATCACCAAGGTAGCACTGCTGGCTTTCTAGCTTAAGGTTGGGGTCTCGATTTTTTTTGCTGCGCTTTAAAAAAAAAGAAGGATCCCATGCTACGTATATGCGCAGGCTTGCTTTCAAAGGCGCGCACTCCTAGCCTGGAGAGGCTATCACCTGCAAACACCTAGTCATGAGCTCTTCGCCATCCTTTCCAGACTAGAGGAGATCAGCCTTGCTGATGGCAATCATCTTCTGATGAATGGCACCTTGCTTCATGTACCTAGGCACTTCAACATCTAGCACTTCTTGACCTGAGCAAGTAAGAAGTTTTCTGAAACTTGCCAGTGCTGGCGTTGGTTGAGAGCTTCTGAAGTTCTGAAGGAAGAGTGAACAAGAAAACAGCACACCACTGAGAACAAAGCATCATCAGGCATGATCATTGAGACAAGCCTTCAGCAGATCAGGGCCCATAACTTGGCTGTAGCTTGATGTTGCCAAGATGATTGGAACCACCATTGCAAGTTGTTCTCACTACAAGCACTGGAGATCACTTCGGTGAGTTGTTCTGACTCTGGTAATTGCAGTTGCTTTCTGGTGGACATGCTCTGGCCTGTGATGCTGTCGGTTGAATTCCCAGAAATCCCAAATCTCGTCGGTCCATGCTTCATGTCTTCGGTTTCTGGGCTCAAGAAGACTACAGCAAGGCAGTTCACCCAAAAGGGTGTCTGAACGTCATAAGTTCCTTTTGTGGCCCCCTCCCTGTACAAAGCATTCAGATGGCTCCAGGTATACAAGAGGACTCTGCTTCTTGAAGCTCACACTGGCGACCATGTAGCCTTCTGCAAGTGACAGGAGTAGTCATTGTCGTGGTGGCTGTAACAGTTGGAGGCAGCAGCAGTACTGTAGCATGAATAGCGGTCTCATTAGCAGCAAGAAGCATGAGACCAAGCAGAAAGTGTTCAGAAGATGACCAGCAGGATTGAGTTCCCACACTGGCCTAACCGAAAGCCTGCCTGAGCCCCTCAAGCCCAACCCTGAGACCCCAAATCCTCCTAGCTCCAACCCGTTTATTTGCGGGATCCTCAGCTGCGCTGTCCGTCGGTAAATGCTGCCGTCGCCTGACGATGCCGAGCAGATCGGCAGCCCGCAAGAGGCGGGTGGAGGGCAAGAAAGGAAGTTGAGAAAGACATGGTGGAGATGGTCTGAGTGTGTACGGAAGGGGGTTGTATGGTGTCATGCAGTTGACTCCTCAGCGTCAACCTATTCAGTTGTGTAGCCTATCCCAGAGCCATGGACTTATGTTCCAGGTCCTTGAGTAATATCTCGTGCTCCCTAGACCCTCTTTGCATCTTAGTTGCTTGGGTGGAAGCGGCAGTAGACAGTTTGAGTTGTGAGCCCTTCTGAGCAACTCTAGAAAATGTTGGGCTTGTATTTGGAGTACAGTACCAAAACTGGGCATGAATTTCTGAAACAACCCGTAAACTCCAGGAAACTACCCACCTGCGGAGAGGACTCTTCAATTTGGGATGATACAGACAGCCAACGTCGCATCTCTCACACGCTGAGCACCAAGCTTCACCCAGACCTCTTGCGTGGAGTGCCATTGCATCTGGGCTTCTTAGAGGCTGAGCAGAGGAAATCCCAGTTATGACAAGATGATATAGACCCTTGTGACTACAAGTATAGATAACAATCGCATTCCGTTATATGCCTACCTGGCTCACTGAAAGACATAGAATGGGCCTTATCAGAGGGTGCCAATGCCGTCGTTACAAACTATAGCCAGTCGCCATTTTAAATTGGGGAGGATGCGCCTTGCCAGCGTGTCACTTGCGGTAACTCTCGGGGTAGTCAGCTCCTGCCACTCTCGCATCTTGACCTTCCAGGTGTCCCCTGGATGTTGTGAACATTGGGACATCAGGATTCGGATTCAGCATTGTCCTCGACGATGTCTTGGTTCTACGTAGACGTAGTCTCTGATGGATCATCCCATGTAGACGTAGTCCTACTCGGCTACTCCGAAAGAGGGCCCCCCATACCCGAAAGAGTTGTCATCCGCAAACCTCCAACATGGCATCCTGTACTCCTTAAACCATATGGAAATATCCCTGAATAGGGAACCCCAATATAGACCCCCGAGATACTATCATCCTTAGGGAGCCCCCCCAGAAAAAAAGTATCGCCTAATTTTGGGAAACCCCTATATTCCCTAAGCTTCAGATCTGACTCAGGCATGTTGCCCTTGCCGGTTGGGGTCGCTATTGGGCAAACTCCGATTCTCAGTTACAGTGAATAGGGTTGAGGGTTAGGGGCCAGCTTGGCGATCAGGAGTAATGTTCAGGCTTTGAAGTTGGGGATTCGGGGTTAAGGGTTTAGTGTCAAGATTTTTCAGGAACCTGCAAGGAGCATGTTGGGAGCATCAAGTTATTGAGAGCAGGCAATGTACAGGATGTTAGGATTCCTGAAGGGTGTTCTGGCGGTGCTTCACATTCTGATGGGAGAGTGAGTCCTCTAAAGTTTCCCAGGGTTGAACGGTGATTTTGTGGGCATGTTTTGAAAAAGCATCTACTTGCGATGTTATGTGAATAATGGAAAGGCTGCATCGGGTAAAGGTGCTTATAGCATGTGAGATGTCTGCGGTGGGGAGTATGCCCACTGTTAGAAGACGTCCTCGGCTTGAAGGCTGAAATAGGATGCAGCTTTCACTTCTGGGACTCAAATTCATCAACTGCAAACTGGTGTGTTGATTTGTAGTGCTTGGGCGAAACAGGCGAAGGTCTCAATTTCCCCCTCTCTGAGGGTTCTTCCCAAGCCTTCGCTGTCAGTCCTCAAAGGGGCGTCATCCCGTAAGCCTAAATAAACCCTAAACCTTAAACCCAAAATACCCCCAATATATTATATACCCTATTATACTACAGTAGTTTCCATCTTCTTTTCCATTATCCCTATATAACCCCAATATAACCTCTGAGAACAAAAACAGGAGACCGGCATGTTCAGCCTGGATTCAGGGAGCTATGATTTGAGTCGGTCCACGGAGCGCCTGGACGCTGCTTCACCGCATCTATGAAAAATGGGGGTTTCCTGAAATTAGGGGTACCTTTTTGGGGGTCCGCATAATAAGGACTATAGTATTTTGGGGTTTATATTGGGGTTCCCCAATTTAGGGAAACTACCAAATTGGCCCTTACCATTGGGGGTTTAGGTAGTAGTTTCCAGGTTCTTTTCCATTATCCCTATATAACCCCTACATCCCCCTATATCCCCCTCCATAGTTTCAACCTTAGACTACAGACCTAGCACTGCAGCCCAAAGCTTTGTAGCTTATGCCCCCTTAGCGCTTCGGCCGTTAGTGTTTCCAGAAGGCTTGTTTAATTCATCCATCGAATCGCCACGAAACTGATCGGAGCGAAGAAAAAGAGACAATGGAATCTGCAGTTTCCAAGACTCCGTGCAAAGTGTTGAGGACTGAGATCCTGAAAAGTGCACAATCCCTTAGACTCCAAGGCCCTAAGCTAGGCTACACCGAACAGGTGATGACCTGAAAGCCTTGAACTCAACATTTCTTTGCCAGAAATAGGAGCCAGGCAGGGTTATCTGAGGCTATGTCATATAGTATAGGGATTAAACAGGGTTTAGGGATAGCACCCCAATCACAGAGAATCGAATGCATGAGAAAGTGGACAGGTCCACAATAAGGCAGAAGATCTTTCGTTCAAACAGTCGCTCTATGTTCGCGGGCTACTGGGGTCTATGAAGGTGCTTGGTCCTTATGATGAAAGTCCAAAGACCAACACCTTTCTCAGTTCCAGCCATAACGTCTGAGTTCAAGGAATCTTTCTCCCAAAAGGGTTAATTAGAAGTTATGCATTCTGTAACGATCCCAATGCTGATCCGGAAGCTCTGAGGCCTTCTTTAGCCACGACTGGGCTTCCAGCAGCCGGCTGAAGGTCCTGACTCTAAGGTTTTCTTTCTTTGTGGGGAGCTTGGAGGTTCCGGTTTGAGGGGCTTTTGGCAAGGATATTTGCAGTCACAGGGTTTGTTTAATAGGGTCTTTGTTGCGGGTGTCTCATGATTTGGAGGGCCCAGGGTCGCACCGGAGGTTCTGACGCTGGTGATCATGTACAACTCGCGCCCTGCTTTTTGGGCGCGCCTGGGCCAAACCTTGGCTTCTTGGGCTTTTGTCCTGACCCTCTGTATCTTAGAGAACAGGAAGCGGTTATCCGGGCACACATGCGTAGCTACCGAATAGGATTTCAACAGAGATTTGTTGCATTAGGGATGGTCTCTGTGATTGGGGGGTTCTGGTCACAGGGTTGTGTGGGGCTTTGACTTACAGCCCGCCTTGGCAGAAGAGGGCTACTCTGGATGAATCAGGCCACTTGTACGTCTGTAGTCGGAATGACTTTTACGCCGAGATAGATCACTTCAAGTCACGATTGCAAGCTTCCTGGGCCCGAGCGATGTTCATTTTCTGCCTCTTTTCGCAAACTTTGCCAACCCTGAGCCACGACTATCCAGTGGAGCCTTCAACATCCCTCGAGGAAGCATCATATCTTCCAAATCATTCTACTATATACATCATGGTACTCGACCCAGAAAATGGAGGATGGGGGTTTCAAGTTGTCCGTGCCTTGATGTGCTTCTCAGTGCTTGAGAGGCTACTCAGGGGCCCTCTAATTTTGAGAGATGCTCGTTCCTAATCCGGATTAGACTTAGATTCTCCCCATTCAATAGAACACCCCAAACCCTAAACGATGCCTTTCTGAAACCTTTGCAGCCGCAGAAATGCCTATCGCGCCAAGATGTCTTTTGGTCAGCATCCTCATTGGCGTGCTGAGAGGCTCCGGCGCACTAATAGATGAGAGATGGACCGTGCTTGGGCTGGATTTGGAGTTTAGGGTTGAAGCCATTATCCCCTCACAGCTCTCGGGTGATGTTGAATTTTAGTATACCATTTAAGACCTAAGTTGACTTGTTCCACTTTTTGACCTCCCCTAGCCTGAGACCGCCTTCCGCACGCCACATTTTGTTTTGGGAGGGTAGGAAGAAGGGAAGAGTTTATGACAGTACGAGTTTCCGAAAAGCTTCCACTTCTATCCAGCACTCGGGCAAGTAGTTGTGTTCTATCAGGCTAATCATCTCTTTCCCTTTTCAAAGAACCGCCAGCTTCGGTAAAGCCGTATAGCCATCAAACACTCGCTGCTCAGGTGATCTTTGGTCATGGAATCTTCCTCTTGGTCTTGGTCTTCTGGCAACGATTTCGCAGGCTTTTTAAAAGGCCTCAAAGGGTCTACGCTTTCTTGTCCCGTAGCTTCCAAAGGGCTGAACCCTAGTGCTGTGAAGGCCGCGGCAAGTATTTCTGGACAAGCTGTGCGTGGCGCAGTACGATGCTGGGCCACTTTCTTCACAATTGTATTCCACAGGTAAATAAGATAGCTTGCAGTCAATAACGCAGCACTAGCTGAGTGATGGGCTGCGAACCTGTCGCAGAAATCGTCGAAATGATTTAGGCATCGGAATTTCTCGCAGTGAGTGTTGCATAAAATTCTTGCGCAGCTTCAGCTAGCATTCATCCTCCCTTCTTGTTGTGCAGCTGAAGCAGCACCTGGTACAGCTCCGCCACAACAGAGTCACAAGTTTTCCCAGTTCACTTTTTGGCCCGAGCCCATGGTCTTGTGAATGTTGAAAAGAAGTAAGAAGTCAAAGGGCCCAGTTTTCAGAAGATTTTTGAGATAGTGTTCAACATCAGGGTCCCCCGAAGGCGCTTCAGGCAGGTCACTTCTCTTGAAGCGATCATGCGCAGCCCGTGAACAGTCGTAGCCGTTGATCAGAGCATTGGCGGAAAGGCTTGTCGAGCAATATTCTATAAAACGCCCGTGAAAGCTATGTCCAGTGGCGTGAGATCGGAATCCCGCAGACTTCGGTTGAGAGAAGCCTCAAATGCCCGGTTGCAGAGATTCTCAACACCCTCCCTCGCCACCCTCAAAACAGAGGGGTGTGTGCGACCTTCGCCTTTTCTCAAGCGGCTTCAGCGCTATTTGAAACAGTACCTGCTAGAGTCAAAAGGATGAAGTTTACGTCACCTACCGTGTGCTTCCTATACGTGCTAGTGCGTTAACCAATGTACCTGGAATTGGCCTAAGCACCATTGTCCGGGTGCCACAAGTGTTCTGCCACCTGTCAGACGACACTCTGTAGAAACAGTGCGCAAGTAGAGGACTAATCCGTGCTCTTGATTCATGAGCCCCCCTAGGTTGAATCATTTTATGTGCAAAAGTAGGGGTCAAAGATAAGTTTAAAGGCAGATGCATTTTGCAACAAAAAAACCTTAGATTGGAATAAAATCATCCCAGACCCTTAAAGAATCGTTTAAACATCTAATTACCATCAAGTCGCTGTCCGCTCAAAACCTATTAAAATCCATGTGTAAAAAACCCTTAAAACCGCCTGGGATCCCTACAATAATGGGCCCTAGGTAAATGATATTGGGGGGCGACCCTATTAATCAAGAGCCAGGATTACGGGTGCAAGTGCTTTCTGGAGTACGCAGCTGGCGGCAGTACCGGGCCATACAAAATCTTGCTTTGTTGCACTTGGTAGAATCTTTGGCCCAACGTTGCGCGGCGCGTGTTTTGCAGCGTGTTTTGCTGAACACAGCTGCGGCTCGGGTTTACGCCCTGCCCCCTTGCACCCAAACGATTATGTGATGAGTTCGCAAGCACTGTATGTGTGCAACCTTGCTACGACAACTGTCACGTCTAAGATGCAGACGCCGCACCAATGAGGTTCATGCTAAACCTTCAGACTCCGATGTTTGCGTTAAGGCCTTTCGCAGTGCAGGGTCTCGAGCTTCGGACATGCCAGCAAATACTAACATGTGCATACTGCACCGCGCATGTTTCAAAAGCGTTTTCCGTACACATCGCGTGAACCAACTTGGCACATGACCAGATCAATGCGCACCTGATAGGCACAGAATCTCAGCCGAACAATTCCGCACTTGCTCCTCTTGGTGATCAACCCAATTTCCTATGATTCTTCATTGCCGGTGTTGAATCAATGTATCGGAACCTTCTCCTTCTCAGAACCTGATACAAAAAGTGACATCCTTTGTAAGGCCCTATCAGTATCACGTCTCAATACACCCCTCTTGTAGATCCCTATGAAGCTGAGGTTGAAGATGCAAGGCATCCTGGGGATGCCGGCTTTTTTGCTTAATTCGCACGACCTGGTGGTCCTCCTCACACCCCAGTGACTCGACTTCACTGTTCATGGTTGATGTTAGGAGGACCCCCCACCCTGTACTAGTGGTATACTAGGAATATAAGAGGACCCCAATATAATCCTTACTATTCCTTATAGTCACTATTACTGGGTGGGGGGTGCACCTGATTGATGGGTATGCAGAAAGGCCGCCTGCACGATAATGTCTACTGTGACAAACAGGAAGTTGAATGACGCAGGGAGTTGCAGATGGTACCATCACGAAAGGCTTAACTGTCAAAGCTGTGACGGGAAGCCCAACATCGGGTTGAACGGGAGGCCTGTAGCCTGAAGAGTATCAACCCGTTGCCCGATATATCTCTTGCTATACCTGCGATCCGTGGTGTACAGAACATGAACTCGAGGAAGACCATGGTGTTGTTGTAATAGTAATGAAATAAAATCGATAGTAATAGTAATGGTAATAAGGATCAAAGTTATAGTAATAGCAATAATAGTAATAGTACTAGTAGTATGTTGGTGGACATGGCTCGGTCTCTGGATAAGTTTGTTCATTTGTTTGATCCATTGTATTTGCTCAACCAATTGCAGGGTTGAATTGCTCTGATGATTTCAACTATCATCGTTTTGCAAATACCAATGGTGTTAGTTATTGCCAGTGTCATGACCATGGCTACTAGCGGGACCGTTTCAAATCAGTGGCCGAAGAAGCAATTGTATTTGCTAGTACACACTTATTGTTGCTGCTACGCACTAACACTACCACAACGACCGCTACTACTACCACCATCCAGCCATCAAGAAGCACACAACATAGCACACCACATTTCCCGCAAACCGATGACGTGCACCACGTCTTCGCAGACCAAGCACGCACTGCAGCAAACCGCCTTTGGGCCACGGCTACTGCAGATCAAGCACACACACACACATGCGAAGGTACTTTCGTCGCCTGTGGTGTACATTTGAGCTTGCCACTTTCATGAAAGAGCCAGCGAAGCGAAAACGGATTCGTTTCATGCCCCTGAAGACGACTGCCATTCTTGTCTTAGTTTCTGGATGCTGGTTTGCATTATTGATCGGCTGGAGCACGATTGAGGGCATCTTGTTGACACGCGAAGGACTGGGCTTCAAAACATACCAAGGCTGCATCCTGTATGCCAAAAACAATGAGCTAGTGCTGTGTCAGTTTTTGGCTAGTTCAAGTCAAGATATCTGCAGCAACCAAAAGCTGCCCCTACGCTATCGATCATTTTAGCGATTCGGGGACGTGGCATCAGTTCCGCCCCCTGCCTCCCCCTAACACGTAAGATGAGGCCATCTTTAACAGTCGCCGTTCATCACCAGGAGCCCAACTTGTATGAAGCCAAATGCAGCTAGTTGAAGTTCTCTTGCTTGTTTGTATGCTATAACGAGGCAACCTGACATGTCCGTATGCTTCTGCTACCCTGATCGACTTCTGATGCAGATCAAGGGGCTGGGGGCATGGCATTGCTTTGCCTTTACCAAGAAGCCGAGAGCTTGGCGTTCCTGAATCCACATGTGGTCGTATGTTCAAGTTAAGCAACTCTTCGAGCTTCAACACCACAAGCTTTGTTGTTGGATTTTTCTGTCAGTTTGTTAACTTTTTGAGGCGAGCTTGCGATGATGGTCAAAGCCGAAATCACACTAGCGTCTCTTGCTGGCATGCCATGTGTGCAAACGTGCTAGTATCTAATGATGATACACAGGGACAAGCTTAAGCAGTGCTCAACCGCTCTGAGAGAATCAACCCTCGAAAGATGATCCCTGGTTTAGGACGCGCGAGAATACGTGATCTCGCCAGACCTCGTTCGGGTCTCGTGATCACTGGCCTGATGTTATCTCTGGCTAGCGCCGTCTTGCCATTGGTCTTCTACCTTGGCCGCCTGCTATGGTTCATAGAAAGTGTTTGGTGGCTGATCTATTGTGCCCCTTTCACTGTTTGATTGCGGGGTTATCAGTTATCAGCAAGATGTTCTTGATTTCAAATCATCAGGTCCTCCCAATGATGACGATCCTTAAAGCATGAGTCAGGTTTACATCCGCAGCGCAGACTAGCTGACTAGCTGGGCATTGTCAGGTTTGTGAGTACGTTTTGCCTGAGGGTTCTTTTGAAGTGCTGGGCCCCTCCATTGAGGTCTGCATGACTAAGAATTGCAAGTTTTCAGAAGGCAGGCTATGAGCCACTCCCAGATATGATCTCATGACGAAGGAACTTAACCACAACTCCCAACTCTCAACACCGCCTCACATGAAGAAGCAATCAATAGAAACTTTAAGGACGTGCCCTCCTCTCTGAACGCTCAAGCTTCTGGCAGTATGTCTCAACAGCAGATCAAAGGACAAGCGTAGACCCTCCTTCAACTCGTACCTTCCCAGCGCACTACTGAAAAGACTCATGGCGACTCCTTCAGGCAATAATCCGCACTCATTGTCATAGTCAATATGGCATCCAAGATACAAATCGCCAAGCCCCACAGTGTGTTTTGCAATGTAATATTCATCTTGGGGACTACTTGGTGGGGCCGCGGCAATTACAGCCAATTTACTGTTGGTCTTTAACACTATACCGTTCAAGTGTGCACTGCAGGTCTTGAAATGATAGCCGACATGGAGGTAGCTCTTCAGAAGCTCCAGACTTTCAGCATCCAGGACACCATCTATGATCAACTGTTCTGCCATGGATGCTTAGACAGTTGGAACAGGGCAAGATGCGTTTGTGAAAGGACTATGTGCGGCAAGATGGCTATCAATAGTCCAGTCTACTGCAGTACTTACCCCTCAAGGCTACTCAAGGATTTTAAAGCCTTCATGTCCCGGGCTGCCATGGCTTTCTGCAACAAGTGTATATGCATTTATGGTTTCAAAAGGGCTGGCTGGATCCCCGTCCCTCTTGGGTCTGCAAGTTCGGTGAAAGAATGTCATTGGGAAGATGGGGAATATCGGAGAATCAAATGAAATGATGGAAAAAAAAGCAAGGAGGGCATGTAGGCGCCAGGGTCAGGGTTTGGGATTCAGGGGCATAGCTGATTGGAACCATTCCTTGATAGCTGATTGGAACCATTCTATCAAGGTCACACGTTCTTGTTCCTGCTAGGCTTCAAAGGTTGGGGTGCAGACAGGTCATTGTCATCATGCATTTTCCTTCCCGAAAGTTGACGGTCCCTTTGTAAGCTGCTTTCAATTAAACAACCCCATGTTATGGGTGTACGTGCTGAGGGGCCCATGAACCCTTGAACCTGGAATGAACCTCCCCGAACAACGCGTCGTTAGTATGACATGAGCTTTTATACTGTCGGACTGCCTGATCTTCACAACTCTTGCCATAGTTGGGCGGCAGTGTCTCAAACTGATCGTTTATCATCCCGAGTGGGACATGCAATCGAACAAGGGCGCCCTGGCATCACCATGCCAAAAACATTCCTGAAGAGGGCTGGAGAAGCAGACCTTGCTTTAAAGAACCGCCTGCAAGAATAACCTGCTTGAGAGACATTGACATAGTGTGCGGGCACTGTTTAGGTTCTGCAGATGTCTACACGTACCTTAGCTGTGAATGTTTTTTGTTGCATCCAACTTGGCTGAAGGACGCGGACTGCTTTTGCTGCTCCAACGACCACAGGCATCCCCACACAGGAGAGGAGTTGATGTGCGACCGATTTCTGGTATACAGTATGCTGAATGAATGGTACGGCGGTATGCAAGCAGACGGCAGCTGCGAAAATGACGCAGACAACGTACATCTGAAACAGTTCGACCACCTGGTTCGCGAGGATCTGGCCCCCAGAATAGCTGAACTTGTTGGCGGCTTCACATTACCCGTCAACTACACGTTGTATTTGGGTCATTATTGGCAGTGGTTCTAAGTTCAAGGGATACAGGTATTCCATGCGGAGCAAAAAAGATCAGATCTTCATTGCGACCCTGAAAACGACTCAAGTTTTTTGGTGGCGTAGCTGTAGACCCATATGGGCATCTAGGATGAACACGTAAAATCAATTCTGCCCTTTGACTGATGAAGGTATATGTTAGGAGGAGCCCCCAACCCTTTCATAGTGGTATGATATAATAGTATTATCCTTGTTATTATCCCTGATACTCACTAGTACTGGGTGGGGGGTCCCACCTAAGGTATATGGTGGGTGTGAGCAGCGTACCACACCTGGCAGATTACATTGCTCTCTGGATTGCGACAGTAAGATCAGGCCTGACTGGCTATGCCCCTTGGTCTCTGGGTATTATTTAGGGTTTGTGGCTTACGGTCTTAGGCTTCAGGCTTCAGGTTTTAGGGTGTATGTATGGGGTAAAAGGTTTCGGGGGAAAAGTTTAGAGTGTGGGTTCAGATTCTAGGGGCCCTTCCGCCCAAGAGTATGTAAGAATGCCCTCCTCACGCCGCAAGGATGTCTTTGTGAGGGTAACCGGGTTGTGGCAGCGCCCCGTGGCCCCTATAAACAAGAAGCTTTTCAAACTCCCCTTCAATAAGACTGAACCTTCAACACTCCTTGCACCCATGCCCCCCAAACCCCAAACTCCAATCCCCTTCAGCCTTCAATCCTGAACCTCCCATTCCGCATTGCCGCGTGGCAAGCTGAGGCTCTTTGTGTGTGGACCTTGCGACAAATGTCAAAGTGGGGGAAGCCAAGCTCTTAACGGCTAATCACATCGGGTTAGGGTTTAGGGTATTAGGGTTTAGGGGTTTAGGGGTTGGGGTTTAGGGTTAACGTTTAGGGTTTTCGGGTTTTAGGGTTTTAGGGTTCAACAGTACGCCCCACACCCTCGCAACAATACACGCTTTCCAGTTTTGTATTGTTATCTACTCTACACGGGGAGTAGGCATTATGATGTGTGAGTGGATTACCCTATGAGGGGCAAATAGAGTGGATTCATGTATATGGACTTTCGGCCTTGCTATTATCTAGCTGAAGGGTAAGCCTCTTTGTTATTTGGGATCTTTCCGAAGGAGATTGTAAGGGTGTCTAGGCTTTCAAGACTAGCCATGTGTGGCTTTGTCCAAACTTCTGGCATCCCTTAGACGTAGGACCATGACATGACCCTGCGGGCTTGCTTAGGGGGAGGACCAAGTTTGTAGAACCATGCCCATACTGACGTGATGCTGCATAGGAGACTGTAGAAGCAGTAAGGACCTTGGCTTTGGCTAGCATGCTATCCGCAAGGGTGGCTATGCCGATGTGGAAGGTTGGCCTCCGCATCTGTGTCATTGTTGAATAAGCTTCTGGATCTTTCCTTGGTACAAATGCTTGCACTTGAGACGGAGGAACCATCATAATGTTTGATCTGGTCCAAGAAATGGCCCAGGTTGGCGATGGAACGACTCAGCGTGCTGCCGTTGGTGTATAGCCTTCATCTTGTCTGCGCTGGTGTTTTTGCCTCTTGATGGCCTTTGAGCAGGATTTTTGGTGTTCGGCCGGCCTTCGACCTGAATTCCCACTTGCCCCAATCGCGAGAACCTTGTTTAGGTCCGTCACGATTCTTTGGAAGCGTGACATTTTGGGGTCAGGATTTTGTACTAAATATACCTGAGAAAAAGGATATAATACCTACTCCAACGAGCAATCTCTAACAAAGATCAGCCTGAGAGGTTTGTTTGTGCCATCTGGGCTCCTATGCATTTCTTCCTTGGCTTGACAGAGGGTGACGATCCCTCTCCGCTCATCTTGTTTCTATTTTGGCTGGCAGTAGCACTGGTGCTTTATTGCCAACGCTCCTGGATCAACTTGGGCAAGATTTTATGCTGTAGTGTTGCTTGCTAGATGCAATGATGAGTTCATTTCCCAAAGCAGTAGTGGTTCTTCCAAGCATATAAGCTACAGTCTGAACTCCTTAAACGGGGCTTTATAAGGGAATATATAGGGGACTACTATAGGGGTTCTTCAACGGGATACTAGGAGTTTAGATTATAGCTCATATAGCGATCCTGAAGAGGAAGAATGGCGCTTTTCCAGGAAATTGCAGGCAGAAGTGATGATTAGCCACGATGCCATTTGTAGCATGAATGCTGGCACTGGAATTCTCAAGCGTCGTCATCATCGCCATCTTCATCGCCATCTTCATCATCATCATCATCATCATCATCGGTTCTGGTCAGTCCCAAGTAGTCTGCTTCACAAAACAGATCAGGTTCATGGAGCGGCCTTCTCAGAATTTTGGGAATCAAGCCGCATCGCTCGCTTGAGCTGAGCCAGCCCCAGGAGACTGCTGATGATGAGACCTTTAGCATTTGAGTGGCACTCCCGGCGAGGACACGAAATCTCAAATGCGGTCCCATAGTACAAGGACAACTTTCCTCTGGGGGCTCAGGCTTTTCTAGGTAGAGAACATTCAAGACTCCTCGAACAGGTACTGCTGTCTATCCGTAGCAAGTCAAGAATTCTTCCATCCCAGGGCTTCCAGACGCATATCACACATGAATGACCTCTGGTCAGAATGATTTTCCGTCTCTACAGACAACAGCGCCTTGCGGCGCAGTCTGTAGGTGGCACGGCTTGTGCCACCATGAATGCAGTTTCCTTTCCCTTCAATCGCCTCCCCTAAGAATCAAGGGATCCTCCCATAAAAGCCGATTGTCGTGAGATCTGAAGTCTCAGATTAGATTGCCCTTGAGGAGTTTAGGTTATGCAAGAAGAGTGTTTAATTTCAATACGCTCGAATATGGATGACATTGGGGAGGACTTGGAGCTAATTCTAGTTTGGTCTTTTACTGGTTCACGTTTTTCAGTAGCTTGTAAAGGGGGCAGCCCGAGCAGTGCTTGTTAAGCTTTGCAATAGCATTCCCCCTCTGACCATGAAGAAAGTGTTCCTCGAACGATTATTTTGGGCCTGGCGGCAGCTGCCGTTCGGTCTTGCTGCCCCCCCCCCTCCCCCCCACCACCCAGCCATCATGTGAAAACCAGCCCACCCCCAGGCCTGCTGATGCTCCTGATAGGGAGAAGTGTGCGCTAAAATGAATTTCTTGCTATTTGGGATGGTTTTCTAGGTTTGGAAAGTCATGTTCTCCTTCGTTTAATTGAAAATGACCCAACATGGGGTCCCAATGGTGCTCATGATGCTCCTGTACGTGGCGCGCGCCTTCGCGCCTCGTACACGAGCATTGTCAGCACAATTGGGACCCCATGCTGGCTTTGTTGGGACCAGGAAAAGTCAAAGACCCCAGAAAAATCACCAAAAACAGGCTTTGAACGTGGTTCTCTGCGCTGGCTGACCATGCTTGTCATGCAGTGCAGGTGCTACCAACACTGATCTTTACAGCCACAAACACTACCCGCAGCACGTATTTGGCGCGCTGTCCCGGGGTTTGCACCACTTTTTGAGGACCCAACACCCCAAGAGGCCAGCATCATGGGCATCACGGGGCCTATTTGGACATCCAGCACAGCTGCAAAACCCCATACCTCAAAACTGAAAAACGAAGGCGCGCTGATGATGCTGGCCCGAAAAAATTGCCCCAAACCCTCCATAGCGTGGGGGAAGCCTCAAAAAACACGTCCAAAAACGCCTTGAGTTTTGACACCCAAAACTCATTTCCTAACAGGGCTTTAGCAGGCGTGATCCGCACTGGACCACGATGGCCACGACGGACTTTAAAGCCTCTGGCTCAAGCCGCTGACCCCAGAGGCGGTCAGGCTCTGCCCGGCAAGACGAGACGGAGACGAGAGGGAAAGTCGCAGCAGAAGTTATTTAAGGCAGACGGGAAAAAGTTTCACGCCATCGCAGCCGATATTGCTGCAGCGGCACTGCAATCAAACTAGCGACGCTGCGTTGTTGCCGAAATCTTGTCACGCTGCCTATGTTTTGCATGGCTGGGCAAGAGACCAACCGGCACGAACGAGAGAAGTCCAAGCCAGGCGGCCGGGACTCCGCACGACCTTGAGCGCCTGCTGTTTGGTCAACATGTGTGTGATGCTGCTGCTATGGTGTTGCAACACTGCATGCCGCAGGTTGCAGGTGTCTGGGGACTGGGCCCCCAAGGCCAAAAACGTTTTTCACTTTTTTTTGTAAAGAATATCCGGGTGGGGCCTAGCAGATGGCGTTAGCAGATGGCGTGGAAATCGGCTCAGATAGCTACCTCGGACGTGGTCGGCAGACTTCTCATCGTTGGGGACATCCGTGATTACAAGGGAAAGCGATTGTTACATGTGTTTGGCTGTTTCATAGGACTCTGCAGCAAGCAGGAGATGATCGGTCAGCCAAGAATTCCGAAGGACTCGGTCCCCGTATCTGCTGATCGCATATCCCTTGAACCCTACACATGGGGAGTTGTCAAAGTTATTATCCTTCTTTTGTTGCCAGTATGGTACGGGCCGTATGAAATGGGGTACCTAAAGCCTGTCCATTTTTTGACACCCTTTTACATGGCTGTTACAAACAAGACAGATGAGTGGAAGGGATCGCCGTCCTGTAAAATTCTCGTAGCTCCCTCTCAAAGAGAGTTTGGCGGCAACATCTTGATGGCCAAGTCACTTGCGGTGAAACTTGGCAGAGCATGCAGGGATGCGCACGAGATGCAAATCCGAATGTGCTCTACACCCTGGTGGTTGTTGTGTGTGTTGCCCATATTGTACAGGCTAGCTTCACAACAAGGACAGCCGTTCCAGGAAGTGCACGCTTGTGGTCGGGCGAATGGCTGGCACTGCTGAGAAAAAAGTCCGCCGAAGCCCTCCACCTTATGCAACATCTATATACTTTTGCATTCAAGATTTGCGATCTTCAGTACTTTTTGAATGGGGCCCCCGGAAACACAGCTAGCTGATGATCCAGACTT